TCATTGTCCTCAAAAGCATATTCTTGAACATTTACATGACTTTCCAAATGTTTTAGAAGACAAAAAACAACTGCAAAGATTTCTTGGTGTTTTAACTTATGCTGAAACATATATTGAAAAACTTGCAGCCATGAGAAAACCTTTACAGGTAAAATTGAAAAAAGATGTCATCTGGAATTGGTCAAATGCTGATACAGACTACATCAAAAAGATAAAGAAAGTTTTAATCAATTTTCCAAAACTTTATCTTCCAAACATTGAAGACAGTTTAATTATTGAAACTGATGCTTCTGATGAATTTTGGGGAGGTGTTTTAAAAGCTAAAAACCCCAAAAACGAAGAACAAATTTGCAGGTACACCTCTGGCAGTTTCAAAGCAGCCGAGAAAAACTACCATAGCAATGAAAAAGAATTACTCGCTGTAAAAAGAGTTATTACAAAATTCTCTGTATATTTAACACCAGTAAATTTCCTGGTTCGTACAGATAATAAAATTTTACTTATTTCCTCCGAACTAAGATTGCAGGAGACAACAAATTAGGCCGACTAATACGTTGGCAAGAGTGGTTCTCACGATATACTTTCACTGTTGAACATCTCGCAGGAAATAAAAATGTACTGGCAGACTGCCTCACCCGTGACTTCAGGTATACCTTACATCATCCATGATCTCACTTGCTCCTCTCGAGCCCTATAAAAGGATATGATCCTCATGACATATTCCTCACAAAAAACTTCACCTACAAAAAGAGAGGGGGAGATTAGAGAGAAAAGTAAACAAAAATTGAGTTTACAAAAATGGAAGACCTCAACACTTTGAGGATAAAGAAACAAATGCTCCTCATTGAGCTATCTGCAATTGAGCAGAAAATCAACTTGTATGAACAAGTAACAACGGTCACCAATGTACCGGAAAGCGAAAGCTTAAAAACAAAGGCTATTCCAGTGCAAACGGCACCTGGTAAAGAATCAACAAATCCGTTGAAAGCTGATGCTTTGCTAAAAAGCATAATAAAGGAGACAGCTACTCCTCTTCCTGAAGGAAAAACTAGCTTATTGGTTAACCCCAATCCTTGTACTGAAGGAATCAGTAAAATGACAACTTTGTCACCCACCAACAAATCTGTGCAGGAGTTTACACCAGATTACAAAAAAGCTCTTAACAAAGAAGCTGAAAGATTTTATGTAATCTACAAAGGACCACATGCCGGTGTTCATACTGACTGGGGAATTACAGAAACTTTCTGTAAAGCTGATAAAGTTACTTGCAAAAAATTCAGAAATGAAGCATCTGCAAGATTAAGCCTTGCCACCTATCAAGATGATACAAGCAAAACTAACCAACCACTTCTTCGACCAAAAATCCAAAAAGTCAAAGAAGCTCACAGAGACCAAAGGTTTGACGTTCAACAAACGGTTAACTATCCTGAAATCTCTTTTGAAGATTTCAGAACAATCTGGAAGAAAGCAAGAGCTGCATGTCCAGAAGACCTTATTCATGAAAAGTTTTTCACTACGGATAAGAAGACAAAAAGTCTGTTCAACTTCCTCGAAGGAGCAGATGCAAATTTAGTCTACCAAGCCTTTCAAGCTGGACTAATCGACAATATCTACCCAAGTTGCAACCTTCAAGAACTCAAATTCTTCCCAAGCAGCATGGTAGAATCCATTAAGAACTTTCGAAAGAAAGTACTTAAAGCAAAAGATAATCCGATCTACATCAGATGCATCTCTTCACTCCCGGAATGGATTCAAGAATCAACTCTTTCTCCATACCACTTTCTGGAAATTGGTCTTTCTAAAGCCAATAGAGAAATTGAGCAATCTCAACCAATGGAAGATAAAGATCTACCATTCACAGAAATTCTTCATCCCAACCGCATCAATGGTTTAAGAAGAATCTCCGAAAAAATCATTGAGATTATCTCTGGTTCAAAAAAGAAGGTTAATTATACAGACTCGCATTGTATAATTACAAGCTGGAGTTACAACAACACCAGCCAAGAAGACCTTCGTCAAGCCTCCAAGTTTGGCGAAAAATTCAAGAACAATAGCATGGAAGTATCCAACGCTACACGCCAACACTTCTGCCGACATGCAGAACAACTTTTCGAAGAACATCTTTGTCACTTTTGCGAAAGCAAAGATTCGGAGACAAAGGAGGGACCCTCCTCTGAAGATGAAAAATCCTCATCATCTTAAAGAAAGATGCTTTACGCGTCAAATGGCCCCCGCCACTCAAGATAATAATGCTTTCTTCATTATTAAAATTTTTCCAGCTGTCCACAATAATGTAATTTTTAGTGGATAAAACGTCATGCCTGACATAATAGGAAAGAGGAGACCCTCTCAATGGATCTATAAATTGAGAGTTATATTTTGTTTAGAGGACATCGCAATAACGAGTGCAACAAAAACACTCTCTATCTTGTAAATTTTCAGTTCAATGTCTTGTGAGTAAAATCTCCCTTAGAAGGGAGAGATGTAAAATATTGTAGGAGTACTCCCATTTCGGGAGCTCTTTTATCAATAAATCTATGTTTTGTTATACTTGAGTGTTCTTACAAAATAGAGTCATGAAACCTGTAAGTGACAGAGTGTCAGGTCGACGATGGTCAACAGTACCACAGGCATGAGGCCAACAGGGAAAGCAACCACACAGACCAATGAATGACACAGGCTGGCTTGAATAGTTTCTATCTATGTAAGTAATACTCCTACTCCAAAACACTTATTGATTAATGAGTTTTCTCTTTACAAGTTTTGCATCTATTTCCTTCTAAACATTAACAATATACAAAGGAAATTTCCGTACACCCAAACTGGTATCAGAGCCTTGTTGATATGACATTAGATAATAATAAAACACTTTACAATGAAATTTTCGATAGAATTCGTAATAAAGAGAATGAGATTTCTCAACATAAAGAAATACTTTTAAGTAATAAAAAAGATTTAGTGCATATAAATTTCAGAATTCTACAAGCACAAAATAAACATACTCACGAATATATACCAACCATGGTTAATATACGTAAGTACCTCCTTCATAGGCAAAAAATGCATCAAGAACACCTTGATAAAGCTTTAAACTCAGTTTCAGAACTCAGAAAAAGGATTTTAACTTGTTAACATTTCTTAAACATGAATAAAGAAATTTTCAACAATTCTGAAGAAAATGATTCAGAAGAAAAACAAATCCTAACTTATGTTGAGGATGAAGACGGTTTCCATGCAAACCTCTTAATAAAACAAGACCTTCTCTCTCGAGTTAAGAAAACAGATTTAAAAATAAAGAAAGAAACATTTTCAAAAATGTTCCTTCTAAACTTAGTATTTTAAATCCACTTAAAAGGAAAAATGAAATTTTCTACTTTGTTAGTACTAAAGAAATGTCTGTAGACATAAAAGACACAATAGGAGCTGTCTTTCTACCCCTTTTGACTAAAGAACAAATAAACAATAACTAAAAAGTATTCCAGTTGAGATTAGATCAAAAATAAGAATGGTCCATATCGGAGCTGTAAAAATTTTGATAAAATCCCAATTCCAAGCAGGAATAAATTCTCCCATAAAAATGGCCTTAATTGACAACAGAATTACTGACAGACAGGACTGCATCTTAGGTGCTGCTAGGGGAAACCTTGCTTACCAAAAATTTATGTTTTCAGTCTATCCAAAATTTGCTCTGGATTTGAAATCTGCAAATATAGATAAAACTTTATCTTTTATACATCACTTTGAAAGAAGTGACCTTATGAACCCAGGTGATAAACCATTCACCATAACCTATCTCATAGGATATGCCCTGACCAATAGTCACCATAGCATAGACTACAAGAAAGACGAGTACATCGAACTTGATGATGTCTTTTCAGAAATAGGCCATGTCAAAGATAAACAATTCTGCGACATAAATCCTCAAGAAAACTCTTGGGTTTTAAATATAGCTAGAAACAAAAAAGCTCTAGGAGAAACTCTTAGACCAAGAATTTCTATGGATTCACTCCATATAGGAGAAAGCTCAGAAAGAAAAGATAGTAACTTAATAAGAAACATGTCTTTAAAATTGATAGTCTACGTCAGAATATCAAACAAATCTCTGAAGTAATAAATGAGTAATAAAATAGATTTTCCTCATTTTTATAAAAAAGGTAAAACAGTAAAAATTAAAACTCTTGACGACAATACTGAAAAGAAAGAATACGTTTTCTCTACTTCTGGAAAAGCTGGTATTCAAACAATTGTAAATCATTGCAATAATCTCAACCAGATCATTGCAAGATGTCTCTTAAAAACTTCAAAAATAAGCCATTACCTTGGTATTTCAAAAGATATTTCTAAAGATATTTCAAAAAATAAAATACCTTTTAACCAATTTAAAAACGATTTAGCCATTTTGGTTAAAAACAATCTTGATAAAAATAATTTTGAAAAATTCTTCGAAGTTATTGAAAGACAAAATAAATTAACTATCAAGCTAACCCAGTCTATTGACAAACATTCTATTCTTTTAGAAAACTCTTTAAAAAACAACCATTTTGTTGAAGAAGTCGCCAAAAAGGCAAATATTGAAGGCACTCTTAAGGAAAACAACCTTAAGATCACTAATATACAAGATCAGTTAAAACAACTGATAGGATGACCTCGATACCCGAGCTCAATAGATCAATCAACCTCCTTAATGAAAAAATAGATGGGCTGATTATAAACTTTGACTTAACGGCCAATAAATACGTAACCACTACACAGTTAGAAGTAGCATCTGCAAAAATTATTGCAGACATTACTAAAGAGTTATCTGAAAAGATTGACTCTTGCCCTTGTAATAAAGACATTCTTGAACACATCAAGAATATTTCCATCATAGAACAAAAAACCAAACCTGGAAAATATTCAGGTCTTAAGAAATACTCACCTCCCAATCCTAGTATTGGAAACCCTGACTTAGGAAGCTCAAAAGACTCCCAGAAAATTGATATTTTCAAAAAAGAGCAAAAATGAAAGAAACAATCTCTGAGAAACTTGAGAAATATTTCTTTAACCTTCAATATGAAGATTATGATAAGGCTGACCAAAAACTTATTCAGCTTTTATCTTTAGAAACTGAAGAATGCGAAGAATTGTATCAAAAAGAACCCAAACTTTTTGATCAATATTTTAGAATGACTAAAATAGATGAACCTGATACTGAATCAGAACAAGAAGATAACTTTAAAACTAATACAAAGACTGTTAAGTTCGAATATTCAGATATGGAAGATGATGAAGCAGAATCTTCTTATACACCGCAAGAAGAAGCAATAAAAAGAAATATGAGTTCAAAATGCCTGTCCACAATGGTATTCCAGATAGTAGCAAAGGACCCAATACGATCAATGTACTCAATATTGATTGTATCCAAGATCTAAAACTCAGAGAAAGAGTTGTAGAAAAATGGGTTACTGAGATTTCACTAATCTTACAGACAAACCCAGATGAATTTGAGAAAAGCAAAAAATGTTCTTCTACTTTTAGAACACAAAACTGATGGAATTGTGCAAAAGTTCCTAAGAAACAATAATTGGAATGAAGATTTGCATGGTTCAGATCTTTTTGATAATCTCATAAATGTCATATACACTACTTTCTTAGGTCTTGATTATATTTCTAATAAAGACTTTACCATTAATAAGAAAGTTGACGTAGCAAGAGTTTCAATGACAAAACTCCAATTACATGATATTAGTCTTCTCGACAAATACACATGTATGTATGAATCATATCTATATGATATTCCCCAGAGAAGTGAATATGCACAATGGATATCTGCTTATCTCATGAAAATTCCAATTATTGGAGAAATCTGTACTGAAAGATGGAAAAAAGAAGCTACTGGAGAAATCCAGCAAACCAGTCTTTCTTATGCAACAAAAATTGCAAAGGAAGAAATTGATAGAATCTGTCAAGACAGATATAAACAACAAAAGCTCAAAACAATAAGTAAAGATTGTTGTAGCATTCTCTCTGATTTCAAAAACTTTGATATTGGAAGAAAAACTTATACTAAGAAAAAGTATAAAAACAAAAAGAAATACAAATCTTTCTGGAAGAAGAAAAGAAGAAAATTTTCACCAGGAAAATACTTCAAAAAACCTTCAAAAGAATCACCTAAGAAGACTACTTCCTGTCCACAAGGAAAGAAAAAATGTAGATGTTGGATCTGCAATGAAGAAGGACACTATGCCAATGAATGTCCAAATAGAAAAAAATACCCTGACAAAGTCAAGGTTTTACAAACCGCTAATAATGGAGGATATGAAGCTCTTGAAGAAGAGTATGAAGGTATACAACATGTCTTTACATTTCATGTTGAAACTGATTCTTCATCAAATTCTGATGAAAACAAATCAACCACGGATGACTCAGACTAGTCTCATACAGGCTCCACTTTTTAGGGAGGAGGAGTTTAACTTGAACCTCCAGAAAATTAATAATGACTCCCTTATCATGAATCTCACTAATCCAAACTCTATTTATGTTTCTGCCTTCCTTAACTTTAAAGGATATAAGAAATTTAGAGTACATTGTTTTGTAGACACAGGTGCATCTTTATGTCTTGCAAGCAAATTCATCATTCCGGATGAGCTCTGGGAAAATGCTCCCAAAGAAATTAGTGCCACTATTGCAAATGGTGAAACCATAATGATAAATAAAGTTTGTAGAAATATTAATCTCGAACTCTCAGGAGAACATTTCAACGTTCCCACTATTTATCAACAAAATTCAGGAATTGATATCATAATTGGTAACAACTTTTGTCAAGTTTATGGACCATTTATACAATGGATAGATAGAATTGCCTTTCATCTTAATAATGATATGGTAATTATAAAAAAGGTTACAGAAGCCTATAGCAAAGGAAAACCAGGTTTTCTTAAAACTCAAGAAAAAGGCTCTAAAGAAAAACAAATTCCGGGTACTAATATAACCCAAGAAGGAATTAATGAAGAAAGGATTATTTCTATTCAAACTACCAGGTTCAAACAGATTGAAGATCTTCTTGAAAAAGTTTGTTCTGAAAATCCTATTGATCCAGATAAAACCAAAGGATGGATGAAAGCTTCAATTAAGCTCATTAATCCCAAAACGGTTATTAGAGAAAAACCTATGGTTTACTCTCCACAAGATAGAGAAGAATTCTCCAAAAAATCAAGGAATTACTTGATATGAGACTAATTATAGAATCGCAGCTTCTCACTGCCTTCACATGTCCTGATGGACTCTTTCAATGGAAAGTACTACCCTTTGGGCTTAAACAAGCTCCTAGTATTTTTCAAAGACACATGCAGAACGCCCTTCGAGGACTTGAAAGTTTTTGTACTGTATACGTTGATGACATCATGGTCTTCAGCAAAAATGAACAAGAGCACTATGTTCATGTTACACAGGTTCTCAGAACCATTTTAAAATATGGAATAATACTTTCAAAAAAGAAAGCTCATCTTTTCAAAACAAAAATTAATTTTTTGGGTTTAGAAATAAATGAGGGTACTCATTGTCCTCAAAAGCATATTCTTGAACATTTACATGACTTTCCAAATGTTTTAGAAGACAAAAAACAACTGCAAAGATTTCTTGGTGTTTTAACTTATGCTGAAACATATATTGAAAAACTTGCAGCCATGAGAAAACCTTTACAGGTAAAATTGAAAAAAGATGTCATCTGGAATTGGTCAAATGCTGATACAGACTACATCAAAAAGATAAAGAAAGTTTTAATCAATTTTCCAAAACTTTATCTTCCAAACATTGAAGACAGTTTAATTATTGAAACTGATGCTTCTGATGAATTTTGGGGAGGTGTTTTAAAAGCTAAAAACCCCAAAAACGAAGAACAAATTTGCAGGTACACCTCTGGCAGTTTCAAAGCAGCCGAGAAAAACTACCATAGCAATGAAAAAGAATTACTCGCTGTAAAAAGAGTTATTACAAATTCTCTGTATATTTAACACCAGTAAATTTCCTGGTTCGTACAGATAATAAAAATTTTACGTATTTCCTCCGAACTAAGATTGCAGGAGACAACAAATTAGGCCGACTAATACGGTGGCAAGAGTGGTTCTCACGATATACTTTCACTGTTGAACATCTCGCAGGAAATAAAAATGTACTGGCAGACTGCCTCACACGTGACTTCAGGTATACCTCACATCATCCATGATCTCACTTGCTCCTCTCGAGCCCTATAAAAGGATATGATCCTCATGACATATTCCTCACAAAAAACTTCACCTACAAAAAGAGAGGGGGAGATTAGAGAGAAAAGTAAACAAAAATTGAGTTTACAAAAATGGAGGACCTCAACACTTTGAGGATAAAGAAACAAATGCTCCTCATTGAGCTATCTGCAATTGAGCAGAAAATCAACTTGTATGAACAAGTAACAACGGTCACCAATGTACCGGAAAGCGAAAGCTTAAAAACAAAGGCTATTCCAGTGCAAACGGCACCTGGTAAAGAATCAACAAATCCGTTTAAAGCTGATGCTTTGCTAAAAAGCATAATAAAGGAGACAGCTACTCCTCTTCCTGAAGGAAAAACTAGCTTATTGGTTAACCCCAATCCTTGTACTGAAGGAATCAGTAAAATGACAACTTTGTCACCCACCAACAAATCTGTCCAGGAGTTTACACCAGATTACAAAAAAGCTCTTAACAAAGAAGCTGAAAGATTTTATGTAATCTACAAAGGACCACATGCCGGTGTTCATACTGACTGGGGAATTACAGAAACTTTCTGTAAAGCTGATAAAGTTACTTGCAAAAAATTCAGAAATGAAGCATCTGCAAGATTAAGCTTTGCCACCTATCAAGATGATACAAGCAAAACTAACCAACCACTTCTTCGACCAAAAATCCAAAAAGTCAAAGAAGCTCACAGAGACCAAAGGTTTGACGTTCCAATTAACGTCCAACAAACGGTTAACTATCTTGAAATCTCTTTTGAAGATTTCAGAACAATCTGGAAGAAAGCAAGAGCTGCATGCCCAGAAGACCTTATCTATGAAAAAAATTTCACTACGGATAAGAAGACAAAAAGTCTGTTCAACTTCCTCGAAGGAGCAGATGCAAATTTAGTCTACCAAGCCTTTCAAGCTGGACTAATCGACAATATCTACCCAAGTTGCAACCTTCAAGAACTCAAATTCTTCCCAAGCAACATGGTAGAATCCATTAAGAACTTTCGAAAGAAAGTACTTAAAGCAAAAGATAATCCGATCTACATCAGATGCATCTCTTCACTCCCAGAATGGATTCAAGAATCAACTCTTTCTCCATACCATTTTCTGGAAATTGGTCTTTCTAAAGCCAATAGAGAAATTGAGCAATCTCAACCAATGGAGGATAAAGATCTACCATTCACATAAATTCTTCATCCCAATCGCATCAATGGTTTAAGAAGAATCTCGGAAAAAATCATTGAGATTATCTCTGGATCAAAAAAGAAGATTAACTATACCGACTCGCATTGTATAATTACAAGTTGGAGTTACAACAACACCAGCCAAGAAGATCTTCGTCAAGCCTCCAAATTTGGCGAAAAATTCATGAACAATAGCATGGAAGTATCCAACGCTACACGCCAACACTTCTGCCGACATGCAGAACAACTTTTCGAAGAACATCTTTGTCACTTTTGCGAAAGCAAAGATTCGGAGACAAAAGAGGGGCCCTCCTCTGAAGATGACAAATCCTCATCATCATAAAGAAAGATGCTTCACGGGTCAAAATAGCCCCTCCACTCAAGATAATAATGCTTTCTTCATTATTAAAAGCTTTCCAGCTGTCCACATAATGTAATTTTTAGTGGATAAATACGCCATGCCTGACATAATAGGAAAGAGGAGACCCTCTCAATGGATCTATAAATTGAGAGTTATATTTTGTTTAGAGGACATCGCAATAACGAGTGCAACAAAAACACTCTCTATCTTGTAAATTTTCAGTTCAATGTCTTGTGAGTAAAATCTTCCTTAGAAGGGAGAGATGTAAAATATTGTAGGAGTACTCCCATTTCGGGAGCTCTTTTATCAATAAATCTATGTTTTGTTATACTTGAGTGTTCTTACAAAATAGAGTCATGAAACTTGTAAGTGACAGAGTGTCAGGTCGACGATGGTCAACAGTACCACAGGCATGTGGCCAACAGGGAAAGCAACCACACAGACCAATGAATGACACAGGCTGGCTTGAATAGTTTCTATCTATGTAAGTAATACTCCTACTCCAAAACATTTATTGATTAATGAGTTTTCTCTTTACAATTTTTGCATCTATTTCCTTCTAAACATTAACAATACATAAAGGAAACATTAACAATATACAAAGGAAATTTCCGTACACCCAAACTGGTACTCTACCGGCTTCAGAGTTTATTTTTTCTACTAGTAATTTCCTCAAACACTTTATTTGCATACAATAATAGTTCAAGTTTCTACCTTTCTAATATGCTTGAGTGCTATGATAGTTTATCGTCGTTGAATTTGGAGTTTTGAATTGCAAATAATGAAGCCTGTAAGCCCTTATTTTCACTCCACTGAATTAGTTTGGTTTTCACCTCTGCTTTCTATAAAAATTCATTTATTTTGACTGTAAACTTCACATACATCGAGTTCTTGCTGTTTTCGTTCATATTGCAATAGTAAAGTAATATTTTTCCATTTTAGCCTTTGTATTCTTAGGTCTATGTAATTAGTTTACTTAATAACAAATTATTATCTTGAAAAAAATAAGAATCTCATGGTTTATGTAGACTATGGAAAATCTGCCAGTTGTTTTAGATAAAAAGCTGCCAGCATGCTAGTTTTTGATTAGAGAAGAAGCTCGGTGTATAATGGGAGGTGGATTACTAGATGAAAGAAATACCTATGGCTTAAGTACATTACCTCAATCATAGGTATATTTCTATATCTTTAAAATATGTATATATTGAATATTCACAAGAAAATGTTGTTGAAATTTGCTGCATATATATTGTATTTACGTGCAGGTGAAGTTCTTGACCAAACTTTTTGCTTAGAAACCTGGAAAAACATTATACGAAATGATTATGGATGTAATGTTAGGCAAATAGGAAGATGTTCGCAGTAGTTATGAGGAAGAAAGTACAAGGGGGGTATAAAGGTCTTTTTTTCTTTTTCTTCATATTAAGTGATGTTTGAATAAAATGGTTGTGTGGAAAATGATGTTTATAAAATATTCAAGAAAATTATGGTATACTTTTGGAAATGAAAGGAAAAATAAACGAGGACAAATTTGTAAAAAGTTTGGACTTAAAAAGAATGTCTCAATTTCGTGACTTTTTTCTATTAAGTTGTTCTTTTTTACATTAAGTAAAAACGAAACACTAATCGGAACTATGTAATAGTTAAGTCAATTTGAAGTTGAACCACATCTGGATAACAAATCTTGGATTCTTGTGGTTCCTGGATATTGATTTCTCTATTTCCTTTGGAGTTTAATTTTGTTGGTCTATGGACACATATTTTTACCCATTGGAGTTTGGAATTCAATTTCACATTTCACTAGTGCATTTTGTTTGTTTTTAGTTTCATCTACACATATCTCCATTAGTTGTTATTAATTTTTTAAACATGACTTATTCTTTAATAAATTCATCAGACGTTAACTATTTCTTTGTTAAAACTATGAAAGAATGGGATTGAATCATATATTCTACAAGAATGTGTATGTACCCTTTGTCTATATATTCACCAAGAATGCTTTGTTTGTTTTATCCATACATATCACATTATAAATGCATAAAGAATGTATTCATATTTGTTTCACATCAAATAATAGAAAATTGTATGCTACTAATGATATTTGTTGTAATTATAGTTGTAGTACAAGCAGCACCACAACAACAACAACAGGAACCTGTACAAGCCCAACTTGTACAAGAAGATGCATGATCATATCTGTATATATAGATTTATGTAAATAGTTGTTTAGAGAACTCTTCAAGAATATTGGGTTATGTAAACAATTGATTACGTTATTGCTTAAGAATTTCAGTTGAACTTATTTATAGTGTGATGCGTTTGAATACAAAACTATTGTATAATAACACATTCTTTAAGAATTCGGTAAATAATTCTACATTTGAATATTCTTTAAGAATAGTATGTTGTATTTGGAATAATATTTTATCAAAACACTTCATTCCTT